TTTTGTCAATTCATTATCCTACTTCCACTATGTAACAACAATCATTCAAACGTGAATTCAGGAAAAACTATCAAATCCGAACTAGAATTAAGACAACGAAATGTAATTAGTTCCTATATACTCACTAGATATGTATTAGTTCAAAACGAGAACTTATCAATAACTAGTCGACTCAAAATCAAACTACTTATCGAGTTTTTAGCTTTCTCAGACATAGAGAAATATAATAAAATGAAAAAGAAGAAAAATACTGATCAAAAATGACTAACAGATCATTTAACTGAATACCCAGTCGGATACATATCCAATAGTCTCGGTTTGACTGGTATCTGAGCAATTTGATAGATATTCGCAGTATTACTAAATCGGACTGGCAACTAAAGAGACTGATGACTCATTCAAGATGTAAGCTGTCGGTGGGAGTAGTAGTACCGAACTTGAAACTTGAATTCAATTGAGTTTTGAAGCTATAACTTCCAAGTGTCAAGGACTCGTTGCACCCTAATCCAGAGAGCTGCATTATGACTCTTTTCGTAACACCCACATTGTGAGAGACCTCCTTGGAAAGTTGAAATTTGAAAACTCACTTGAAGCTTGAAAATTGAATCGAATTCAAGTCTCAGGTCTTACATATATGAAATAGTGTTAGACTCTGCATGGGTCTTACTGGCAGAGTTCGGCGATTCCAAATTTTACCAGGAACTAGAAGTGCACTTCTGACTCCAGTTAATGAAAATGAGGAATAAGCGGTTCCCAGTTCTACTCACAAAATATAAAGTACAAGTGGAGTCATTAAATTATTAGATAGATACAAAAGTTTTACATACATTTTGAGAAATTTTCTTTATTGAATTGTTGCAATACACGATGTTACATATTTCAATACTTAAGGCAAATAATATTATGCAAATACAATGAAATCTTTTATCTCAAGTATAAAAAGACAAAGTTATCTTCACCTAGATTTAAGAAATCTTGTATCTATCTGATGTTTAGATGATTTTGACTTCTTCAGCGGTACCAAAGTGTCTTTTTTTCACGGCGTCAGTTCTGCATGAAGGAAATTTCTAAAATTCAGTTCCAGCTTTTTAAGGATCGCCGAACTCTATGCCTGTTGGTCATCAGCAATATTGATAAAACAATGTAATACTGGTACTGGCACATCTGTAAATGAAATGAAAAAAAAAAAGAAATTAACAAACCTTTTACAGATGACAAAAATTCGACGAAAAACAATGGTGTTATAAATCGAATTCTCTGTCTATTATGAATGTGCGAATGAATTATTGAGAATGAGTGATACTTTTTTCTGTTCTATCATATACTATGCAGATTTAGTTTTTTTTAATTATGTAGGCAATAACATTTTTCTTTCAATACGGATTCATGATAAAAATATTAAGGGCAATAAAAAAAGTTAAAATAATATTAAATAATGTTTCGTAGGACTTCCATCACCGTCAAAGAATGCATTTAATCAGCCGATTTGTCAGCTTTTATTAAAAATAAACTGTGAAGCGTCTAACTCTAATCAAATAAAACTTTGTACCAATCACTGGTATATTCTGATGGAATTCGACAGCTTTTTTCCTTCGCTTTCTTTACAAAACTAAAATCACCAAATTTGTTTTTAATACAAAAAGTGCTTTGTTATTGACTTAATGGCATTTTTTTTGTTGATAATCGCAGAAGAAAATGATACTGGAAGTAGTATTTTTCTTCTTTAGTTTCTCGTCAATTATTGATTCAACTTAAAAATGCATTGATGGAAGGAATATTTTAAAAAAATGTGTTTTGGATACCTTTTAGTAAGGAGTTTTACTGAGATAGTATTAAAATAATTCTATTTCTTTGAATAGAGTGTTATTTTACTTTATTTTGAATTTCAAGTATTCATTTATTCTATACTAATGGTTAAAATTTCTTATTAATGTTACTATCAATAGTTTGCTTCAAAACTACCACAAGAACTGTTTTCAGAATACATAAAATTAAATTTATCCAGGAGGGCTTCTTCGATTGATTCTTATAGAAATGTTCTCCGATATATTTCGCTACTATTTTAAAATTCATGATTATGGCATATAACTGAAAAAACTATTGGCAATTATCACAGATTATTATATCAAATATTAACATTAACTTAGTATAGTTTATAGTCAATAGTTTCTATGATACGAAGAAAAATTAAAGACATTATTTTGTTTTATTTTCTGTCTTTTCATTAATATTTTGGACGAGTGTGGGTGTAGGTATGTATGGTGCGTGGATGTTGGGTGAGGGTTTGAATGTGGGTGGAAGAATTTGGCAAAAAATCAATAGCACTCAAACTCATACCCTTCGTCAGTGTAAAACTTTCAACTATTTCAATACCTTTGAGGACGAAAAAACAACTCAATCTTTCAGAATGATTCCATCAATTACTTCGCTGCTAAAGAGTAATCGTCAACATGTTCGATGTGAACAACTACGAATTATCAGAGAGTTTGAAAACTAATGGTCTACCATGAGTAATGTTGCATCAGAAATGCACATCTATTTCTGGTATAGTTTCTAGCTGTAGTTGATACATTCCGCTTTAAAAGTCATTATAATCTATATTAACAAAACCTAATAAACCAAAAAATTTTCCTGTGGAATGATGTGATAAAATTGAAGAATCTATCTAAAACAGAATGTCAAAGAAATTTCCAATGATCAAAATAAAAACGAGCATTTAAATGTACGTTGTCGATAGGTCTTCTCTGTTTGAGAAGCTGGAATCGCGATATATTTCGAGTGGTCGAAATGTGTCCGAGGACTCAATATTTGATGGCTATAGAAGAGCTCGAAGTGTGGACAACACAGAAGAAAAAAATATAAATTCAAGTTTCGACCACTCGTCGTACCCATTGTTAGTTTTTTAGATCTCCTTGGGTAATATTGTTTCACAACTACTCCGACAACTTTTACATCTCAATCAGAGTTCATGCGAGTGTTGTTTCAATGAACCTCACTGTGATCGGAGGTCATCTTACGTGCCGGTGCATTGCACATTCAATTATCAGACTCAGACTCACCCACATCCACTTGCGCCCACGCCCTCTATACAACAAAAAGAAACATATTTTATTTTTTCTTCATTTATCTCTATTTTTCAAAGTAAAATTAAATTGACCTTCTTAATTGTTGGATTTGTCAAAAAATGAGTTCTCAAAATCTTACTGAAATATATTTATCACATTAATACAACATTCGATTAACCACCATTCGGGCACTGGAGGAGCATTTAGATGGAGGATAAATCAGTGATTGTCTCAGACGATGACAACCCTTAATATTTCATTCTACGATTTATTAAAAAGTTATTTCTATCTGAATTAAATGTAATGAGATATTATTTTGAACAATGAATTACTTTCATTTTGAAATCAAATAAAAAATATTGAGAATTCACAGATGTTGACAAATAATGACTCATATTTTCTGTATTTCGATACTACTCAATTTTCGGAAGAAACTCAATTTAGTACGTTTCTCATTTATTTGATAAGTTTTAGCAAGATTCTTAAAACTGAATTTCTGAAAAATCGAATACTTTTATACGAAGATGAATGAAAGTAGCTGTCGTAGCATCATGTTCCTATACCAAATTTCTGTACTTTAAAGATTCAATAGCTCAATCGGTGTACAATATTATAATTGAAAGTCAATGAAATATTATTATTACTGATAGAAAAATAGTATTTATTTCATCAAACATAATTCAAATTGACTAAAAATCAATAGTTTTTCTTTGGTTAAAGCAACATTTCCACTACAGCAAGTAAATTTACTTAATGAAGAAAATTTTAGAAACGAAAAATCCTTTTTATTCCAATATAGAAAAAATATGGGGTGTGGGTGTGGGGTGTGGGGTGTGGGTGGGTGTGGGTGGGGTGTGGGGTGTGGGTGGGTGTGGGTGTGGGTGGGTGTGGGTTTTATTGCTTCCTTCATCGACACCCACATACTCGCACACACACCCCCCCACCCCCCACCCAGCCATCCACACCCATACCTTTTTTATGCAAATATAATCAGTTATGCCAATTTATTCTGTACACACAACATGTTGTTGAAGAAAAAAAATTTCAATAATAAACCTTTCTTCCCTTTCTGCTAATGATTCATGTGTCGAAAAAAACATGCAATACATCAGCCAACATATAGCGAAAACTTCGCATATTTTCTGTTTCAATGATTCTACCGTTTTGTCACTTAAGCTCCATTATATCTGAAGCATTACTTTCTTTATTGCAAAAGAATTGTTTTCATTTCAAATGGAGACTATTCGAAAAAAATTATTATTTTGGATGTTATGATCGAATGGTGTGTTTTATCGGTAATTTCCATTTTCGCCGAATTTTTTTTTCGCCGACGACGATTTTCGCCGAATTCCAAGTTCACCGAAAGAATTTTTCGCTGACGGAGACATTGGAATGAGTGCACATGTGGGTGTAGGTGTAAGTGTGGGTGTAGGTATACGTGTGAGTGCGTGTGTAGGTGTGGGTGTGGTTCAGGGTCATTAAATGAGCGAAAAATTCTTTCGGAGAAGTTGGAATTCGGCGAAAATCGTTGTCGGCGAAAA